TCTCCAGGGCACGGCCCCTCGCTCTGCCCCGCACACGGCTGCGGGACCCGGGGGCTGATGCCCAGGAAGGTGCTGGGGCTGCATCGCTCCTCCACTGCTCCTGCAGCGCCACTGGCTCCCAGGCACTGCAGGACTGGAAAAACTTAAGGAAATGAGAAAATCTTGACATTTAGCAAGCCCAGGAGGTGCAGGTAACGCAGCAGGCTCCCGTGCCCGACTGGAACAACCTGGCCCAGATTTAGGAGTCTGCACCAGCCAAGTGCTGAGGTGGAGTTTTCCTTCCCGGCAGCAGCAGCCACCCCCCGTCACGGTTCTCGTTCGGGCAGGGCGAGGCAGGCACCCACAGGCACTGCCAGGGAGGACAGTCCCTGTGCCCAGGGACCAGGTTTCACTCCCCACCGGACCCACAAAGGTTCTCGGCGACAAACACGCACCCGCTCAGAGCCAAGACCCAGGCCTGGCCTCCAGCCCCGGCGCTCGCAGCTCCCGTCCAACCCCTTCTCCACCCTTAAACCCTGTTGCTGGCTTCCCCGCTCCAGGTGTAATATTCTCCAGGGGCGCAGGACGATCTCGGCTTGGCAGGTTGAGCCTGGGCACTGGATCTCCAAGAAAGCACACGCATTATCTTACAAAGGAAATTTATTTCGTTTGATGAAGCTTATATTACATACATCGACTGAAGCCAGAACAACAGTTAACGGCAGGGCTGGGGTTCGTCCAGACTTCCATTAGTGTTTCTGGAATAAATCAGGCCAAATTAAAGGATCTTTTGCCCTTACAAAATACAGTCATAATACAAGGAATGTGTTTTTTTTTCCTTTGCTGTTGTTTTAATTATTCCCCCCCTACTCCCTGCCCTCAAGTTGCATATAGCCAATGCTCCAGCTTACCAAAAAAAGAGACAGGTCAGGAAAATCTAACACACGTACGCTCCCCCCATACCTCTAATAAACCACTGAGATGGGAGGACTGAACCTAACTCTATTCAGGGAAAAACCCACCAACCGAATACCAGGAATAAAGCTCTTGCAACAAACCAGACACGGTACCCTTTAATAATTTTACTAGATAAAAACGTTTTACATGTTGTTCAACAAGATGCTACAAATTCCTTCTGCTTAGATCTCTTTCAGCTTCATGGGTTTGAACAAGCAGCCGAATACACTGAAATATTGACTTCTAAAAATAAAAATAAAAAATAAAAATATTGCATTCTTGTCAGTGTCTGTTGGATATTCTCTCATACCCACCAGAGGAAGGTGTATAGTGCACCAGAGATCACAGCCTACTATAGGCTTAATATCAAGTACAGATACACGGAAGCAGATGTATTCATCAGACTGGGGCGGCACGGCAAACGTCAGGCTGGGAACGCGTTTGTTTCCATGCGGAGAACCCTGCTACAGCGTCCCCGCTCAGTCCCCCGTCACTTGTGTGGCTTGCCCGTCCGAGGTTTGGTTGGTGGACTGAATGAACATGGGCTGGGCGATGTCCTGGCCCGCTGGCATGGTCACTTGCTGGATCTGATAGAGTTGCTGGCAGAGACAGAAGCAGGGGAAAGGACGGGCTGTCAGTTCCCATCGTGCTCCCTCTAAGCTCAAGGCTGGCACTAACCCTGCAAGCGGTGGTGCCGCTAACTGCAACGCTCGGGTGCGAGTAAAATCTGTCCCCTCTCCTCCCCAAAACAGACCACAGTTGCCACTGGACAGTTGCTGCTATATCATAACAAAGTAATTCCGTGAATTTCCGATGCCCAGATTGAGTTCAGGCTACTTAGGCAACAGTCAGTAGCTAGGTGTTAAGACCTTTATTCCTAAACTGGTTAGGACTAAAATAGATCCCACCTAGAGTGCAAGGGACTGGATTAATTCAGAGCGAAGGCAGCACAACACCAAGAATCCACCTGAGCTAAGACTGGCACAACATCCCCTTATCCCGCTCCCGGCCAGGGTTTGCCAGCAGCAGGAGGGCTTCCTCAGGGCGAGCCCATTTTGCTAGAACATGCAGCTTTTAGGAGGCTGTTCCCAGTCCCTGGAAGCCAACGAGCTCCAAGCTCTTACCTGCCCGTCTGTGAACTGGCTGAACTGCTGCTGTCCTTGCTGGACTTCTGTCTGCGTTATCTGCAAGGAGAAGAGAAGGATGATCACCGACAGCGCTTCGGAGAGAGGGTCAGAGCCCCACTAACAATATTCTGCAGCTGCCTTTCACGAGCTTTTTTAGCCTCTTTCAAACGTCATCACCCCACCGTGCGGTAAGGCACGGCTCAGGCCGCCGGCCCGCAGTCATGCTGGCGCTAACCGCGAGTCAAGAACAAAGGACACGGGAGTCAGTCGTTCCGAACCGAGCACGGGCATGTCCTCCTCCCTGACTCTCACGAGGAGAACGCGGCCTCGAGGATCCCAGAAAAGCAGCGGCCTCCCTGTCCTCCGAAGGCAGAGAAGAATCCCTCAGCGACCGCTCTCAACCAGAACATGAGACAGCCTGCCGGCTGCAACGCTCGTCTCCACGTTCCAAAGGACACGGGAGTCAGTCGTTCCGAACCGAGCACGGGCATGTCCTCCTCCCTGACTCTCACGAGGAGAACGCGGCCTCGAGGATCCCAGAAAAGCAGCGGCCTCCCTGTCCTCCGAAGGCAGAGAAGAATCCCTCAGCGACCGCTCTCAACCAGAACATGAGACAGCCTGCCGGCTGCAACGCTCGTCTCCACGTTCCACCAACGCGAGGTCGCGCGGCTGCTCCTCCCTCACCCAGCCAGAAGGAGAAGTAGTAAAGACAAGGTTGATGAACCGAAGTTTTACCTGCAATCAGCTCAGAAGCAGCGTGAGCTTTTATACAGCGAGACACACACACCCACACACATTTGCATGCACCTTTCACGGAGAGGGAAAGGAGGCTTCCGCTACGCTCCTTGGCTTTATTATTCTGACGGAAGTAACAGGAAGAAAAAGAAACCCTAGGCCCAAGAGGTGGTAAATCCGACTGGAGTTTGCAGTTGGAGGAGCTGGGGAACAACACTTTACCGGTTCGGTGCCAGCCCTGCCGTGATGGCGCGTACCTGCTGTGCATTGGTTGCAAGCGTCTGGATCTGCCCCTGGACTACCTGGGTGCCTGACACGGGCTGGGCTAAGCGGATATACTGCAGCTGGCCAGCATTCAACTGGACCTGGAGACAAGCGGAGGGGGCAGGGAAAGAAAATTAAACAGGTAACTGTGTAACCTGAAACACACAAACTTGCCTTCTCGTTTCCACAACAGAAGCCCGAGTAACAGGTGACCCCGGGGAGTTGGGGTCGGGGTGGGGAAACGCTTCAGCTGATTTTTAACGGTTTGGATGAGGAGCTACTGCCGGCCCTGCCAAAGCGAGTCCACAGAACTCCTGCTCGTTTCTTGAAGCAAAACCCCCGAGGAAGCACACCATCACTTCTCTCTCCACGCCGGGAGTGGTCGGTTAGTAGCCAAAGCATATTAAAGTGCTAAATTTTGGAGAGCTCAGAGAACACTCACTTGGCTTTTTGGTTACGAGAACTGAGCTACTGCTTTGATGCATCATTTCACAGAAAGAAAACGGTTATGAGCTAGCTGCACATAATGACATTCCTACTATACCCTGCCAGAAATTATAAAAAATATATGGGGAAATTGTCACATAAATAAAGGCAGCAGAGATGACAAACCCCAAGGATATATTTGGAAGCTTTTAATGCAACTCTCTGCCAGTATATGTCAACCCCCACCTGGCAAACGCTGGTATTTTCTGTGTCAATACTTCGTGTATAACATTCAAACGCAAATTTATTTCCTACAACCCTCATCCTGCAAGGTTAGATGCCTGGGGGTGTGGGACGTGAAGACAATGTCCTCATCACAACCTGCGATATAAACAGCTAATACTGCTAAAACACATCTGAGAAGCAATAAAAAGATCACAGTGGGATTGATACTGCTGTTGAATTTTTCATTTTGTGTTATTTAACTTCAGAACATTTAGATTGACACTTGTAAGGTTAATTACATATAAAAAATGGTTTGAGTTTTCTTCTTTTTAAAAAAAGAGAAAGAAGGACATAGAAAACACTTGAAAAAACCGCTCCTCGACAAAGGTTCACGTGCCTCGAACGTGGTCTTGGCATTTACACAAACGCCGCTGACTTGCCCAGCTGTGTCTAGAGGCTCCAATATTATTTCAGGAGCAGATCAGCTCCACGTGAGCAAGTTTACATTTCAGTAAAGGATCTGATCGGCCAGCAGATCATGTTTTCCTCACTGGAGGCTTCCTGCTCACATTTTAACTGCGCTCCTAACTGGAGGGGTGAGAGCGATTTGGGAAGAGTGCTCCTGCAGAAAGGAGAGCAAGCTCCGAGGAACCCACCCAACGAGGTCTGGCTAAGATGCCGATTAAATTTAACACAGAATTACCGTGGACAAACAAGTGATCACCCATTTAATTGATGGATACGCTTTCTTCCAGTTTTTCTCAGTTTATAGAAAGTAAAAGTCGCCTTTCCGCAGGCAAGCCACGGTCCTAGAGCAAACGGTGAATCACGGCAGAGAAGCGTAACAACATGAGAGTGTGTGGAAAACCAGCAAGAGAACATTTGTGAGATTCCCTCAACACTCCTGCGATTGCCAGAGGCGCTCCCGGCTTTACGAGAGCGTTTCCAACTGTCCTACTTGTCTGAGGAAAGATTCTCCGCTGAACCCTAGCGGACACCAGCGTGAAAAGGAACGATCAGAAGACAGAACAAACTACATCTAGAGAAAAAGGTAACTCGAGGGAAAAACCAAGCCAAGCACAGCAGGAAGAGCAGAACAGGCAGCACCGCTGCAGAGAGCGAGGACTTTGAATTCGTGAAACCCAACAGGTCCAGGTTAGGGCACTAAAAACCTCGGCAGCGAGTGCGTGGCTCCGTGCTCTCTTGTACTTCACTTGCAGGAAGTGAGCAAAGGGCAAGATGCTTCCCTCAGCACAAGGTGAGACTCTTCAACGCGCCATGATTACGAAGAATCCTCTTAATTACAGTCAAAACAGTACGGCTGCGAGATACAGAAGTGCGAATCATTAAAACACTGCCCCCAAGTTGCTCTGCTTTGCAGCCTTACAACTGCTCAAGACCCAGGTGCTCCCAAAGACCCGGCGCTCTGGCACTTGGCAGCTTCGGCCTCACGTCTGCAGCGCAAGAAGCCTTTGAGGACCAGCCAGGGCTCCCTGCTCCGAGCTGCTCCCAGGCAAGAGGAAGGCAGAAGCGTGTGCTTGGCTAAAACCAGGCACTAATTCAGCAGCCTCTCGGCTCACACTCCTAAAACAAGGGACCCACTTACAACAGGATCCACACACAACTTTCTGCAGAAGGTTACGGCCCCCTCACAGCTACTTTACAAAGAATTCTTTCTCCAAGCCCCTTTCTTATAGGGATGCTCTGGAAACAACTGGAAAATGAGTGAGAGCCGTTCTTTTCTTGCTGAACCAAAGGAGGATGCTGCAACATTTAGTCCTGTTGTAAGAGATTCACTGAGGCTGGACGTGGACATCTCCTTCCAAAACGCTCTGAAGGGCAAGTATCTTGGAGAGACGAGAAGAAAAAAGAAGAATGTAAAAGAAAGGTAGTGGAGAACGCAGAGAAGACAAAAGGTTGCTTGTAATAAAATACTGTATTTGACAAGCGATTCACTTCCCTTGCGACCAAAACCTTAAGCCAAGCAGTAGGAATGAGCTGAAGACTTAAGAAATGAAAAGCATTTGGAAATGAATTTGAAGAATCTGGCAACACCCGCAATCTAAACCTTTTCCGAGATGCGATGTCAAAGCACGGACATTTGCCAGACAGACAGAGGGAAGCGTAGCAAATCTTGAAAAGCAAAACTCGTGTGAAAGATCAGTTTTGCCGTGGCTGTGGGTACTTCTCAGTAACAGAAATCAAAGAAATGCTTCTCTTGGGCACTTGGTCTGACCTTTGGGTTGCTGGCTGAGCACACGGAACTGGGGATTTAAATTTTTAAAAATTTTTTGAAGAGGTATGAAATTTTCCAGATGAGAGGACCGAAAGAGCCAGCTTTTTTTGTGATTCCAAGTTACAGAAAGAGAGCAGAAAAGGTGATATTTTTTGACCCACATGTTTACTTGGACACATGCCAGAACGTTACTGCTGATGTTGGGTATTCAAAATCCCATTCTTAAGGCAAATCTACATTGATGTGAAAGCGAGGAGGAATGCTCTGGTTCTGCACAGCCATTCCTCCAACCAGCCCAAAGTATTTCACCAAAGTATTTCTTGTAGCATAAAAGTTTATTAATAACTCACAGATGGCACCTTTCCCACTAAAGCCTGCCAGGTCATGCCTACAGATTGCAGAGACAGAACCAAGCACAGGCAAAAGGAGCCAATTATGCTTTATTGAAACCACACTGCAGTAAAGAACTAAGGGTTTATCCAGGAAATATTATATTTATTGCTTCCTAATCGTAACTCTTCCACTTGGGGGAAAGCGTTGGGGTTGGGCAACAGGTCTAGATAGGTGAGATTTATTCCCTCCTTCACGCCACACCTCGCTAGTTTTTCCTCTCTAAGTGCAGGAGACACACCACTCAATCCAAACTTCCTCTGACAGTTAAAAAAGCATACGTGTACAGTCTCATGCCAGAAGAGCAGCAGAGAGTTTGCTCGCGAGACCGTCACAGGGTTCTGCTGGCAGAGCCTTACCGGTATCTGCTGGATTTCTCCCGTGTTGGTGATGATCTGCTGCATGACTTGCATGGTCTGCCCGGTCCCGCTCTGAGCCTGCTGGGTCTGTCCCTGCGGCTGCGCCTGCACGATCTGCACCTGCTGCCCTTCTCCCACCTGCATGGTCACAGGGGTGCTCTGCGGGCACACAGGGAGAAGGACTGAACGTGGGTGAAAAGGCCACAAGACACAAAGGCTGGGCTAGACAGGCTGCCCCCCAGGCCTGCTGCTACTTAAATCACCGTGGAGGGCAGTCAGGACCTAGAGGACCCTTGTCACAAGCTGTCTCAACATCTGGTCATGACCAGAATCACAGAATAGTTTAGGTTGGAAAAGATCTTTAAAATCGAGTCCAACCACTAACCTAGTGATGCCAGGCCCACCACTAAACCACGTCCCTGAGCACCACACACACACACACGTTAGTCCTGCACGTAACTCATCATATCCTCCAGGAAACCAAAACTAACTCCTCAAACAGTCTTTTCTGTGTAAGAGCTGAAACACAGATCGCACGCCCTGGCAAGAAGTGCGAGCTGCCAGCCTACAGGCAGCCACTTCCAACACTGTCGAATCAAAGGAGTATTTTCCACAGTAAAGTCCAAACCTACATTCTTACCCCCTTTTAAAACCCTCCAGGGACGAAGACCCCACCGCTCCCCCAGGCAGCCTGTCCCAGTGCTCGACAGCCCTTTCACTGAAGAACTTTTCCCCAATAGCCAATCTACACCTCCCCTGGTGCACCTTGAGGCCACGTCCTCTTGTCCTGCACATTTCCACACCCTAACTGACCGTTCTGAGCAGTGAGGACAGGACCCTCCCCACAGGTGAGCTGAGCCCCAAAGCCCCCACATGCTGCTGCTGGCTCACCTGCCCTTGCTGAGGCTGGGCGATGATGATCTGTCCCGGCTGGATAGTCGTCGTGGACGTGGTGGTCTGCTGTCCTTGCTGCTGCCCCTGGACCTGCACCGCAGCCGGTTGCTGAGCAAGCGTGAAATAATACTGCACGGGCTCCGCCGGCGTCACAGCCTGACGCACCTCCTCCTGCAGCACAGGGACAAGGCAGGTAAATGGGGAGGGAGCAGATCAATATCTACCCCCCGGCCCCCAGCTGAACTATTCTCCCCTTAAGCATGCTCCGTTGAAAAGTACCTTTAATACCTTTAATAACAGTTACATTTGAAGTGATAAATCGAAATTTTCTCATTTATTCAGCTACGAGGAAATCAGAAATGTTTCCAATACCCTAACGTCTGAAGTGATAAATGGAAATTTTCTCATTTATTCAGCTACAGGGAAATCAGAAATGTTTCCAATACCCTAACGTGTAAGACTGTGGCTACCGACTTCATCACGAGAGGCAAATGAGTAAAATTACCATGGCTGAAATCCACGCAGCTCCTCATCAGTGAATTCCGTCCCCGCCTGTTACCTTAACGCAGAATGAACTGCAAACGGAGCAGCAAGACTTACACCTGTCAACAAAACCCTCTTGTGCCCAGCACAAACCTCAGTCTAGCTCCGATGTCAAAGCCCCAGGAATAAGGTCACAGGCTTGATGTACACTGCCGTGCCTTCATTTAGTTATTGAAATCCAGCTTCTCCGCAATGGTAACAATTTCATTTTGTACTGTGGCTTAACAGCCCCACTCTGCTGGTAGTGGGAACACCTCAAGGGCGAAGAAACAAAAGGCTCTGCTCTAGCTCACTGTCAAATAATACTGCTCTTCTGTTTTATCTAAGCACATCTTTAGGAGGGAGAAGCCCCTTATGATTTATGGTATTTTAGGCCAAGAAGTAGATTTTCAGGGATTACGTTAAGTGGCGAGCCGTTAACCCTTGCAAACCAAAATTCCTAAGCTCCCCAGAGAAGCGTTCGGATCTTGTACCTCACGGAGGACGCAGCTCGCAAGGTGTTCACTCCATGGCAGAAGGCGTAAACAATCCTCTCCCAGCCACCTCGAGTTCACAGCTGAGAGTGTAGGATGTTTACACGTGCTACGACATGGTAGATTCCCACTTAAACAAGTGCTTGACTCCCTGCATTAAACGTGGCTTGCTCATGGCTTACCTTCAGTCCATCCAACTGGGCAGGGAAAGAAAAATCCACAATAAACAAGAGCGATGTATGTTGTCTAGATGGGCATCACGCTTCGGGTGGAAGAGCCCTTAGTTCGCTTCGGTGCCCGTCTCTCAGAGGGACAGCAACTAAACCAAAGACTGACCACTGGGAGGTTTCTCAGCAGCCTGCCAGGAGGTTGCCCTCCACAGATGAAGCTGTTCACAAGTGGCTGTAATGCAGAAGCAACTTCGAAGTGTGGCTCTCAGAGAAAACCTGAGCACCAGTACTGCGAACTGCTGAAATCAAACACTTCCTGCATATGGTAGTTCACCGATTATTGCCACCCGCTTCACCACAGCCTCTGGCGGAAGCATCACTAACAAATTTTAAATATATATTCAACAGGGCATGTCTCCAGTCAACTATGACAGCGCAGGCATAGAGGAGCTGCGGCTGCTTCTGTAAAGCCCAGTCCTGAGATGTGTTCCTTCTAGAGCACTCCCATCCCCAATTCCTCGCTGAGTCCTGAAACATTTAAGGCAATTGAGTACTTCTGTAAGTACCTATTCCAGGTTAAGTTGCATTTGCTGCAGTAAAAAATCCAAATCTGCTTGAGCTCAGCTATATCACACCGTTTGCCATCTTTTATTTTCAAGCCACAGCTTTAGTTACCAGAGCAACATAACAGTTGTGGTTGCGTTCCCAGCTCCTCCACGTAACCAAAACTAACTCTTCAAACAGTCTTTTCCGTGTAAGAGATGAAATACAGATTGCACACCCAGCCAAAAAGAGCGAGCTGTCAGCCTACAGGCAGTGACTTTTCAACGCTGTCGAACCAAAGGAGTGTTTTCCACCGCAAAGTCTGAACCTACATTCTTACCGGGCAGCTCTTTCTCCATCCAGCAGCACTCACGGGCAGCGAATGCATCGTCAAGAGATAGATCTCTGAAGCCTATTTCAGACCAAAAGCCATCAGGGCTTCACTGCTGACACGGTGCAACCCAAAAGACAGAGCTCTGGCGGGATTCACCCTCGACATGTGTTAACCCAGCACCCGCCTGTGAAGTCTCAAAGCTCTCGTGCCGAGGTGACGGCGGCAGCCTGCTGCTGTAAACATCCGACTGAAAGCTCCTTCCAACACCTCACAGCTTCCAGTCAAGGATGTTTACAGTAGCGACAACTGCCCCAAAGGATGCAGAAGATGGTATGGGAAGCAAAGAAGTCTGGTTTTCCCTTTACAGGTCAAAGGACGCACACTTTTAAAAATTCCAACCCTGGCAACGTTTGGTGTCAGAGCTATTTAGTAAACGCCCAAGTCAGACGTCTGTAAATCTACATGCAAGCTTTATTTCCGTAATAAAAAATTAATATATTTAAGAACCTGAAAACTACTTTAAATAAATCTGTAAAAGAGGCACAAATCCCACATTCAGATCTGATCTGTATTGCTTTATCGACTCTCCTTAATTAGAGGCTGAGATCACACTACGGAAAGGACAGACAGCAGTCAACCATTCTGGTGTCTCACCTGACGCTTTGGAGGCTTCAGCTCGTCTCTTGGAACAATATCAATAAGAAAATCGAACTGATCGAACTTTGTAATCGCCATGGCAATGTCATTCCTCTGAAACGAGCAAAAAGAGAAAAGCATCCTTCAGCTTTAGGAGTCTGTCACTGGATACAGTCTGAGCTTTAATCAATCAAATTAAATGGAGTCAAGTGACAACGTCTTCTCCAGATCCCAAGTGGTCAAGCTTGGCGGTGAGAACTTCTGGTTTGGTCTGTCTCGTGCTGAGGCTTCCAAGATGTGCAGTAAGAAGGTGCTCATCAAACTCAGGCTTTTACAGCCATCTACTCACCCCCTGGGCCTCATCGAGCTCTCCACAACGCTACAGCTGCAATTCACTACAGAGGGCTCAGGATATTAATCAAAAGAGGGATTCTTCTAAAAAATAATCAAAAAACCCTCCCACATTTTTGAAAAGAAGCTTTGTAGAAAGATGAGGATGACCGCTCCACGTATTAGCAGCAACGGATGCAGAATCTAGTGAGGTGGGAATGGGATCATGGGAAAAAAAAAATAAAGTATCACAGGATCTTATTTAGGGCAGGGGAATCCTGAGAGATGGTGAGAGAACAGGCTTCAACATGTAGAAGGGCAAAATGGTTAAAAGAAAGCATGAAGATTAAAACATATACTCAGCAAACTGGCCAAACATGTATCAGAAAAAGGAAGCGCAAGAGCCAAGGAGCTTCTATAAAAAGCTGGCAAGGTAAGTGTCTTCTCTAAGTGGCTTGTAACCTTACTTTCATACCTTGCCTGAAAAAGAAATCCAAAGAACAGCATTAGGTCAAAGCATTAAAGACCTGAATAAAGATAAGTCATCACTTTATTGTATTTGCTTAAGATCTGAAACAACATCCAAGATCAAAAAAGCTGAATTTCTTAAGGAAAAAAATAAAAGAAAATGTACTCTCTCATTTTAAAATTCTTGCAAGCCATCATAAAAAGCTTCCTGGCTAATTCAAGGAGCTATTAAAAGTCTCACTCTCATTAGCTGAAAATAAATTTGCAAAGCATATATATGAAGAAGATGTGAGACAACGATGCCTTTGCTGCCTACTGAGTAGGTAAAAGACCATCAATCCTTCCATCACAGGCCAGTTGCCATTCCTAAACCTTACACCATCCTGGCATTTAATTACCAAGCAATAATCACGGAGAAAGCACAGGAGACGTTTCTTTGGTTCTGCAGGCAGCAGAGATTATAGAAGTATCTTCACCAGGAAGAAAACTTTTGCTGAGCAGACCTATCTCCTGTTTCATTCTCCACGCTGAGCATTGGGCTCGCTCCAGTTTCCTCAGGACTGGACTTCCCCCAGCTCAGACCTCTCCACTCAACACTGTCTTCCCAGGTACTGGACGAGCAGAGCCCACTTCTCTCCAGTTGCAGTGGCCGTGCCGAGGGCAGCTGCTCCCTGCTGGCAGCTGCTGGGGAAGGCAAAACACCACAATCTCTCATCCCCGACCCGAGCGCCTGAACTCGTGGGTATTGTACTTTTGAGTAGTTCTAGTGAACGTGTCAGACTAAAAACCGATGCTCTCCCCTCCCACCCATAAAAAGGCCCTAAACAGTCACAGCTGACTCTTGAACCACTGAGAAAACGACTGTTACTGAAGGTCTCTTGATCTAGAATAAACAGAAATCTGTTCTGGAGGAGGGTATTTGTGTTTTCATCTCTACACGTTTATTGACACAAACTAACATTTACAAGCTGACATTAGGACTACTACTGAAAAACAGATCCGCTGGAAATTCATCAGCTACAGCCATCCTGAGTCATTAACGGAGAGCTGCCGCTTTGGGGGTTTTTAGTTGTTTCCTCCCCCTCCCCTCCTTATTGTTGTTTGCTTTTCTCAAAGTACATTAAGAAAAAAGCTTTTCACTCGCACATGACACTGGGCGCTGTGCTTTGCACACAGCTTTGTAGCACTAAACACAGGTACTAAAGCTCTGGTCTACAAAACATGCCTCATATTAGGGAAACAAAGCATTGAAAACAAGTTTTTGAAGCAGCTGAAGGCTGGGTAGGAGCAGCTCCGTTACCTGCAGGGTCCTCCGCTTGTTGTCTTCCGTGTGTATCCAGGCCCGCAAAGTCAATTCTGTGATGAATATCTGAGCTGCCTTGGCGAACAACACCGGAGCTTCTGCGCTGATCATCTGCAAGCAAGTTTACACGTTGATTTTTTTTGTTTACCGTGAGTATTCTGCTATTGCCAAGTGGCACTCGGAGGAACGTTACCGTGGGAATCGAACCCAAGTGGCTGCACTCCTGAACCAGTGAACTTGGGGGAATTTCCACATCAGAATATCTATGGGTCTGGCGGTCCACAGAGTTACCAGCCTCAACTTAAATATACTGTTGGGAGCACTGGACACGGAAAATTTGTCTCCAAAGTCTGTTTCCTCCTCCGTGACCAGTCAGACCCCCCGGCTGCACCTTTGGTTAAATGATTCGGAAACACGAGAGGACAGGTTGAGGGCTCGTTTTAACACCTGGCCTTTACTTTGTAGTCGTCACGTTTATGGGATTTGAAACCAATGCTGGAACTGCAAAGGAGGATTGGAGGCTGAGCAAAGATTCAGCCTCACCGAATTCCTTCTCCTTAAAAAGCATCCAGCTAGAGTTTTATTCAAACTAAGCAATTTCATTATTAGCTGGCTTGGCATTAATGCTTATTCCCTTTAATTCCTGTTCATTACGTTCCAGACAAGCCAGAGACTTCTCCCCTTCCTGCTCTGCCCTAAAATATTCCCCCTTCATCACCAAAACCGTGGCACTCGATCGGCTCAGAAACCGAATTCGGAGCCCGGGGTTCACTCCCTTTCCTGGCGGAACTTCCCTTCTCTGGGAGGACACCACACGCCCTTCTGGGGTCTCATTTTTAGCAGGAGGAGGGTGTCATGCCAAAAAAATACAAGGAGAAAGCATAAACCATTCTCTTTTCTCTTCAGAGTTAAGTGTCTGACAGATTTTTTTTTAAAAAGCCGGGAGGACTGGAGCAGCAGGAGTCAAACCCTGCAGGTGATCCCTTTCTCCTTCCTTTCACGTCACAAGTTTTCATCAGTCAATTCATGTGCCGTCACCATCAGTCACGCGTCAAGGGCTCAGCTCAAATACTGGTACCAAGCCTAAGCGATCGCTTATTTTTCCCATAAACCAGAAGCAGCACAGCACACATGTAACCACCAGCACCACTCTTTCTACTAAACACTCAATAGCTTTGTAAAGAGTCGAGAGAAACAAGGAGGAAATGTGAGAAAACAGTTCAGCCCTACAAAAACCAAGATATACTCAGAATTATATACCAGAAGGAAGCACAATTCTTCAGCAAAGATCCCAAGTGATTTTGCTTTCCCAGCTCAGTTTAAGCACACAAGGACAGGTACCGTTCCGTTCGAGGCAACTATTAAAATGTGCTTTAATAAATAAATATATAGTGACGATAAGAACTGCAAAGAATTCTAGCTGCAATATCCCCCCAAAGGATCATAAACAGGAGAAAGAAAAAGGTGAGTGTACCTTCACATCTTCATCTAGTTTCATTATCTTCTTAATACGAGCCAGAGGGAGTTCTTGAACTCTGAAGTCTTTCTGCAGAGAGAGAGATTCACATTTGAGAGACTCTTGACCGATACTTAACTGAAAACAAAGGTAAGACAGATACTAAAACACGGCTGTATCATCTAGAACTAAACTGGCTACACTTAGATTTATAAAAATTACTGAAGTACGGTGGCTTCTCCTCAGGCCTGCGAATCCTCATCTGCTTTTCTACATTTTACACTGATATGATTCTACTTCAACCTTCTGTCAGACACTCACGTCTACTATTTCACCTCAGAGCTGAAGTCACTCTGCACAACAGGACGTTTTTCATGTTATGCGCTTCTGCATCTATTTATATTTGAGGCAACTAATTCAATTAGGTGTCTGGGGACTCAGAAACCACTGGAATTTACAAAAAGTCAAAAGAGAAAAGGAAGGCAAACAAGAGCTATGTGGGGCCACAGGATGAGATTTTTGCTTTATTTGTACTTCCCTGTCGCCCAATACCAATTTTGGTGTTAAAAATCTTGCAAGAAAACTTGTAAGGGAATAAGAAAAAAAAAAAGAAAACAACAAAATCCCCCACAACTTGTCTATTCCTGGTTTTTGATGGATTTCTCACTATTTTCCAGCAAAGTGAACCGCTGGCTCAGGACCGTGCAATGATGCTTTAGGGGACCAAGTGCTGGGGCTGCACTGAACCGACTTTGCTGCCTTCTCTGAAGGCGCGACGAGGAATTCAGAGAAAAATCAAAATCTGCAGGGCGGCGCCGCCAGGAGGAAGGGCCGAGGCCGCGTGCCGCCGTCCCTGGAGCTCGGAATCGCCTTCTGGAAAGATGTCTTACCTTCCCAACGAACGTGTCGTAGAAATATAAACGGGAACGCATTTCTCTAAGGAAGAAAGAGCTGCGGGACCCGTTAGTGAAACAAAAGAGGGGGAAAAAATGCTGAAAATGCTGTTTTCTACTCAAGCAAAATACCGAGGTTGTGTGTGGTCCAGCCAGTACTCCAGTAGGGGGCATTTGATTTTATTTATCTATTAAAAAAAAGAGATACGTAAGTTTACATATAAATATTTTATATGCATATAGATCAAAAAAGCATTCCGTGCCCTCATTCTGGAGGGAAGGAGGAGTGCAGTATTCCTGGTAACATGCTGCAAATCACACCTAGTTTGGGGGGTGAGGGTGTCCTCGCAAGGAGTGCCAAGGGCTGCTGCATCCCGCTGGGAAATGCGGGATTTTGGAAGGATTTTAGGCAACGAGAGGAGAGCAGCTAGGGCTGGGACCCGAGTTTCAACACACAACACGCTCAGGGTGACATTTTAAACCACCAACCACCCCATAAACAACTGAAGAGGTTGCTGAGGCATGGAAAAATATCCCAAAGATTTTGAGTTTTTCTTCTTTATTTTTAAATCTCTTTCCTTTTTGAAGAGCCTCACAAGCTTTGAGTGAACCTCAAAGAAAGATGAGGACAAAATTTCTAACTAGTGATACTCTTCACAGTCTTATTAACCTCTACGAACAGGCCTGCAAGCAGATCTTCAGAGAAGAGAGACGCTGGGAGAAACTCGAAAACAAAATAAGAGCTCCCGTATTGCTTTAAGGCAGACAGGCAAACGTCACATAAATCAAAATGCATACGCAAGTACCACGGTGAAGGGAAGCATGACCACGACTGGCTTCCACCCAGCAGAACAAACTTGAGACACCAATTCTTCATCTTTTCTTTTTTTCCAAATTAGGTCTCGATGTTTTCTCAGGCCTCTTCAGAGTCTCAGTCCTGTCCTGCTTGTGCTTTCCCTGAGACTGGGCTGCAGCCCTTTCTGTTCTACTGGGCAGAGACTGGTTTGTTCTTCTAAAGCAGCTCCTTCTTCTTCCTCCTGAATTTGAGCTACTGGTGGCCCGTGGCAAACGCCCAAAAGTGGGCAGAGCGAGCCCTGCAGAGCGGGCAACCGGAGCAAAGAGCTGCCCTGACCTCGCTGGGCAGGACACGCCGCCGAGCTTTTAAATTTACTTACGTCCAACCTCCTCGAGAGCACTTCTGCACCACGAGCTTCAAGATGTGATGACGCAGCGGACAACTACACAGGAATGTTTTCGTGGTTATCCCTTTTCCTTCCCAACTCCCCTCCGCTGTCCTCAGTGAAATTTTCAATGACTTACTAGCTCGCAGTGAAATAAATAGATTCATACGACAGTTAAAAATTAAGCTGCCCGGACTCGATAAGCTGCATAATAAAGCCCTTTCATGTGGAGATGAAGACAAACTACAGCTCTCGAACACAAGAATTCACTGCGCTGAAAGAGGAAAGTAATTAATTCTGGTTATGCATACAAATTTCTACATCTGTTTCTTTAATCAACTATCTGTACACAGGCTGAAAAAAAGCAGCTTATCTGCAGACTAGTGGATTGGGGTTTTCACTCTGAACAGCCCATCTTCCACTGGAGTTCTTTTGTTTTCAGCTACATTAAAAGCACGGGGGTGTGCTTTCAGGACCCCTGTATCACAGTAACCCATCAATCTCTCTTGAAAAGTCATTTTTATTATATGCCCTTGTTCTCAGGCATATCTCTTTTGGGGATGTTAAAAAACAGAAGCTACTTACTCCAATTCTTATTCTCAACCTATACAGGATTTTTTTTTTTAATCAAATGTCTTTAATAAAGCACATGAGAATGATGCACTTGGCATTCAAGTGATTTTCGAAATTTCAGGCTTGTCAAAGGAGATAGTTCTGGGAGAGGGTATAATAATTCTATACACAAGTCTAAACCCAAAAATTCATTGACGAAACTGTACCTGTCTGTCAACAGTCAGTTGTTTGAAGTTATGAAGTGTGGGGGGGAGAGACTAAGTTGTATTTTGAACAGTAAAACCCCCCAGGGTGTGGTGCTGAGGCCTTTGGTGTGGATAAGGGCTCCCTCACACGCTGTCACACATTTTATATCTCCGAATTTCAACAGCACTTAAACAGCCCACGTAGTCCAACGTGAGGTATGTTCCCAACTCCCTTCTCAAATCCCTCAGTCCTCTGTTAGCTAAACCAACATATGGCAGCTGTACTTAACACCTGGAGCTACTTTAAAATCATTCCCCTTTTCCTCACAAACAGAAGACAATTCCCCTGTAATTCTCTAGAAAGCAGCCAGGGTCATCCCTCAGCATCTTAAAAGGACCTTTGGATCAACTTTGTCTCCTCAATTAGTTCAGAAAGAACCAAGGGTGGGGCTGCTACATCTCACCGTGCTACAAATCAGCCGCATTCAATTTATAGCTCAAGTTTTGGCAGCTGCAGCCAAGAGGCAAAAGCCTGGAGGAACAATTATTTATCAGCTCTTACAGCCACCTCATAGCGTGTAAAATAACCAAACCCTACTGGATGCCGTGAGCAGCAG